AAACATTTCTTCGACACATGACTCCACACATTGCGCATTATTATCACTAAAATGAGGTGGTAGTGCCGCGAACTCGGCTTTATTTAGGGGCAATCCTGCCACCACACGACCTAGATATTGATCACCAGCCGATTCGTAGCGGATGTATCTATCCTGGACACCACCAAGCGACCATCCGACGCGCAAACAAACACTGGCGATTGACGGACCTCCTGTTGTTCTACTGCACGAAAATGTTGCAACGCCCTTTCTTATCGAGTGGGTTCCATAATGATTGAGCCCAGTTATTTGTGTGATCATTTGACGTAGCGTATTACCGAACCGAATTTTCTGACGGGAACCTGGGAATAGTGACCCTGACTGTTGTGTTGGTCGACATGCTAAATAGATAGCAAGTGCAGTGACCCAGCACGTTGCAGGGCTACGGGGATTCGCGTACACGTGGCGCGGATCCTTGGGTCCAGATCCTTCCTGATTAGTCTTAGATTGATGCATAGTACACCCAACGCTATCGTCATGAGCGCTCAAGTGCTGCGTGCATAACGTTTGCACTGACTCCGAACGGCACATTAGGTTCCATTGTGTTGTCAGAAGGAAATGTGCAAACCCCGCGTCTTGCCTTTCCAGTGTCGCCTTGCAAAGCTGTTGATACAGCGAGTACGGCAGTGGATCCTTCCCCGATTCTTTAGGTGCTCCAGATTGAAATCTAGCTGCTTGCAGACGCTTAAGCCCGGAGAAAAATGTAGCCATTTGCTTGTCGTAGGCTTCCGGAAGAGGGACTTCTTTCCGGCGGTAAAGATCCTTTATTGCGCTTCGATAACTATTAAGAGTACTAATCGTCACCGTTTTACGTTTTTCCAACAGGAACGCCTCAAAGTCTGCTGACGTAAACTGTGTCAGCTCAATTTGTCCAGTCGAGTCAAAGTATGCTGCCATTTCGTTCTTTTTGGTCTCAACTATCCATTTTGATATCGATCTGAGGGCGCCACGATAAGCCTGCTGCGTTCTACCCGAGATGCACGCCTCACGAACATCTCGCGCTGTCACGTTATCATCGCCCACGGCGACACCATCTGCAGGTGAACCAGACACTTCATTCGACCCATCAACTCCATTTACTAGCACACGTTCACATTCAGGTTCATCACTGCTCATATCCTTTCCAGTAGAGTCCGTCATGAATGGCCGAGCAGTACATTCGAGCGCCGTCGCATCGCTACATAGTTAGCATTCATTAGCATCTCAAGAGCCGCACACAACAGCGACATTTAGCATCACACACCCTGTAACGACTGCTCTAATGCACTCTGATCCGGCCTCGCACGTATTATGAGCATTGGCACCGGCCCTGGCTGCAGCTACGATGGACTTGCTGGTCTTGTTGGTCTTGGAGTGGGGCTTAGCCGTGGTCATACTGGTAGGAGAAGGAAGGGCGGCTTTGTTGCTCTCTGACTTGATAGATTTTGGCGAATTACACGCCACTGGTCATCCGTAGGAAAAATCGCCACCAAAAATGCCGCCACTCTTCGCTGTGTCGTGTGTATATAAATGATCAGATATTCCAGTGTGCAAATATTTGGATTGCGGATAGATGAGAGGCAACCTTTCCTACGATTGAATACAAATGGCAAGATATTTCCTATAAAACAGCGAGAATCACTTATCTGTATAATTCGTTGGAATGCAATCCTACTTATTATGAGCTGTTCTGATTGGCTAATTTGTTTTTTTGTCTCTTTGCCTGCTCTCTGACAAGTCGTAGGATAGTAGTTAGCGAAAGCTCCTCCAGTCGTCGCTTTCTGGTTGAAGGGGTCATCTCTAAATTACTGATGCCCACACGAAAGAGGTCTGAAGCTTGGTGCTCGGTCATATCATTCGGGATAGTTTTTCCTGCAGTCGTAATGGCTGTGCAAATATGTCGGATTAATCTAGTCCAATCTGAGAAACGCTTGCACATACTGCTCTTCGGTAAGTCGTGAGGGCGAATTTTTCGGAGGGGTGGATAATTTCGTGCTTTATCGCCAAACCACCAGAGCATCCAGGCAGCGTAAGGTCCTCCACGAGGGAATTTAAACGACTCGGGCAGTAAATGAAATTTGCCGTTGTAAAAGTACGCTGTTTTACTGTCGCCAGTCTCCATTGTCGGATGTGGCGAGGAGCTGCTAGGTTGCGCTATACCGACACGCTTCAGCAATGCATTGATGGTGCTCTCTAGCGGATCTTGGTTATATTGCCAGCGGTAACGCCTTTCTGCTCAATAAGATTTGAAACTCCCTCTAAAAGTAATGGCGGCAACTTGTCGATTGAGGATTGCATGCACTGCAACTGTTTGTAAAGCTCCACATGTGGCGGGATTCCCGTTGGTTTCATCCAGGAAGCTGCCTCACAAACCAGCATTGATCGAAGTCGTGTCACAAGCTCGGAGTGACGAAATAAATAGGACGAAAGTAGCGGGTGCGATGCTGGTAGAACCTCATTCCAAATGGTCATGATGCTGCACGAGCGAAGCTATGCAGAGCTTGAGAATATCTTGCAGTGCACTGGTATTTTGCAGGCTTGGAAACATTTCTTCGAAACATGACTTCACACATTGCGCATTATTATCACTAAAATGAGGTGGTAGTGCCGCGAACTCGGCTTTATTTAGGGGCAATCCTGCCACCACACGACCTAGATATTGATCACCAGCCGATTCGTAGCGGATGTATCTATCCTGGACACCACCAAGCGACCATCCGACGCGCAAACAAACACTGGCGATTGACGGACCTCCTGTTGTTCTACTGCACGAAAATGTTGCAACGCCCTTTCTTATCGAGTGGGTTCCATAATGATTGAGCCCAGTTATTTGTGTGATCATTTGACGTAGCGTATTACCGAACCGAATTTTCTGACGGGAACCTGGGAATAGTGACCCTGACTGTTGTGTTGGTCGACATGCTAAATAGATAGCAAGTGCAGTGACCCAGCATGTTGCAGGGCTACGGGGATTCGCGTACACGTGGCGCGGATCCTTGGGTCCAGATCCTTCCTGATTAGTCTTAGATTGATGCATAGTACACCCAACGCTATCGTCATGAGCGCTCAAGTGCTGCGTGCATAACGTTTGCACTGACTCCGAACGGCACATTAGGTTCCATTGTGTTGTCAGAAAGAAATGTGCAAACCCCGTGTCTTGCCTTTCCAGTGTCGCCTTGCAAAGCTGTTGATACAGCGAGTACGGCAGTGGATCCTTCCCCGATTCTTTAGGTGCTCCAGATTGAAATCTAGCTGCTTGCAGACGCTTAAGCCCGGAGAAAAATGTAGCCATTTGCTTGTCGTAGGCTTCCGGAAGAGGGACTTCTTTCCGGCGGTAAAGATCCTTTATTGCGCTTCGATAACTATTAAGAGTACTAATCGTCACCGTTTTACGTTTTTCCAACAGGAACGCCTCAAAGTCTGCTGACGTAAACTGTGTCAGCTCAATTTGTCCAGTCGAGTCAAAGTATGCTGCCATTTCGTTCTTTTTGGTCTCAACTATCCATTTTGATATCGATCTGAGGGCGCCACGATAAGCCTGCTGCGTTCTACCCGAGATGCACGCCTCACGAACATCTCGCGCTGTCACGTTATCATCGCCCACGGCGACACCATCTGCAGGTGAACCAGACACTTCATTCGACCCATCAACTCCATTTACTAGCACACGTTCACATTCAGGTTCATCACTGCTCATATCCTTTCCAGTAGAGTCCGTCATGAATGGCCGAGCAGTACATTCGAGCGCCGTCGCATCGCTACATAGTTAGCATTCATTAGCATCTCAAGAGCCGCACACAACAGCGACATTTAGCATCACACACCCTGTAACGACTGCTCTAATGCACTCTGATCCGGCCTCGCACGTATTATGAGCATTGGCACCGGCCCTGGCTGCAGCTACGATGGACTTGCTGGTCTTGTTGGTCTTGGAGTGGGGCTTAGCCGTGGTCATACTGGTAGGAGAAGGAAGGGCGGCTTTGTTGCTCTCTGACTTGATAGATTTTGGCGAATTACACGCCACTGGTCATCCGTAGGAAAAATCGCCACCAAAAATGCCGCCACTCTTCGCTGTGTCGTGTGTATATAAATGATCAGATATTCCAGTGTGCAAATATTTGGATTGCGGATAGATGAGAGGCAACCTTTCCTACGATTGAATACAAATGGCAAGATATTTCCTATAAAACAGCGAGAATCACCTGTAGACCAGCTAATATAAAAATATCACCTATTATTGTCTTCTGAGACAAAGTGATATTTTATTAAATAAATACGTAATATTAGCTAATTTATATTATATTTTTCAAAGATTACGTAATCTGTTTAAATCCACTAACCATATGTCGTTAGCGTTCGACTAGCCGAAGTATTACTAATCAACCGTGCCGGGACAATTGTGAGAGTGACGGCAAGGTTGGCGTCGTGTGTTGGCACTGCTGAGCGCATTAATCTAGCGTTACAGGCTGCAGGTTTATTAGACGCACGATGTGGATGAGGCTATCGGTAGAGAACAAGAACAAATACCTTGATTTCGCTCTATCGACATTAAACAACTTCAACCGTTTGCAGTTTTCCATCTCGATCGCCTTTGTGTCATAGTGAAATACTTGAAATACCTACTGCAAATACTAATGCCTACTGGATTTTAGAACCTGACCGAAGAGTTCTTTGGTTTCACATAGGGTAAGGTGGCAAGAAGCGTACTTAAGTAAAAAAAATATAATAAAATATAATCTAAAATCAAATATTTGAAATATATGAGTTAATATTAAAATAATATGTTAACTTTTGAAAAATGAAATACTTTTTATTTTTATTATCGAAAATAGCACTATTACATTTGAAAATATCGTATGATATTTGGTTACCATTAGCCCAAGTTTTATCAAATGTCGTACAGTAGGCTTTCGTATTCTTTTTACGGAACCAATCACCAGCCTGCAACACTGAACGTGGACTCCGACCATTAACGTAAACAGAATAACGTCCCGGTGGTAGATCCGCATTTCTTAAGCCGCAAGGCAGCGCTCAGGTTGGTTCCTTTAATTCCATGAAACTCTCAGAACTTTTCTGTCTACTCGCTGCACTCATTTGCAGTTCCTCCGCCTCGTCCGTTGCCGAGGTGGAGCTAGACGTCGAGGCTCAGTGTGTCGCTAACGGAGACGCTACCTGTGTGCCCCCTCAGGACTCCACCCCCGCTCCTTCGACCAGCTTCGCCTCCATCTCCGGCAACATGCTCAACACGCGTCGCATCGCCTCTAAGTTCATCGCTCATGAACAAGGAGAGGGCGTCGGTGCCACGGTGCGACGTTCGCTCGGCTCTCAGCAGCTCCGCAATCTCGATCCGTTCCTCATGCTGGACGAATTCAACGTTGGACTACCAGGAGGCTTCCCCGATCACCCGCACAGAGGCTTTGAGACTGTCACGTACATGCTACCAACCTCTAAAGGCCACATGCGTCACGAGGACTTTCTGGGCAACAAGGGCGAACTGCGACCGGGAGATCTGCAGTGGATGACGCCGGGCAAAGGGATTTTACATGCTGAGATGCCTGCGAACGAGGAGAAAGCGCATGGATTGCAATTGTGGATTAACTTGCCAAAAGCCAAGAAGATCATGGAGCCAAGATACCAAGAGATTAGTCGAGATACTGTGCCCCATGTATGGGATGACGCTAAAAAGGTCGAGGCGATTGTGTTCGCTGGAGAAGTATTTGGTCAAAAAGGACCAATTGAGACCGAAGCGCCCGTTACGTACATCCACTTTCTGATGAAACAAGGCGCTGAACTGGACTATAAGATTCCACAGGGACACAACGCGTTCGTGTACACGCTATCAGGTTCGGGTACGTGTGCTAGTGAAGCCATTACTGCACACACCGCCATCGTGTTGGAGAAGGACGGCGATGGCGTGCATGTGACGACGAACGATGAAGACGGGCTTGAGTTTATTGTGATCAGTGGCCAGCCTTTGAACGAACCAGTGGTGCAGTACGGGCCCTTTGTCATGACCTCGGAGGATGAAATCCGCCAGACTATCCGTGACTATCAGAGTGGAGCGAATGGATTCGAGAACGCGCCCCAGTGGACGTCGGAGATTGGAAACCGAAGCTAGACGACACGCGATGGAACTGCTAAAGAAATTGTATGTTTGGCATTTTTAAAGCAGTAGCAAGTATTAATACAGGTGCTACTGTAGAATAAAAGTGTCAGTAAATCCTTCACTGGGGCTGCCTAATTCATTACTACATGTAGGAGGGCTATCATTACGATGTCAACGTACAGTGAAGCCACGTTGAACCCGTTAGGTTCGTGCTGGAGAACTCGCTCTGGTTAACTGTAAAAGAAAATCAAATATTTCCTATTTACTCATTTTGCAATCCGCAGAGACCGACGAGTGTAGTCTTTGGTCTGTTACTTAAGTATGAGTGATCTCGTTTCCTTTTACGCTGTGACGGGTGGCCGTTGCTCGCGCATCTTCACGTCGTGGGAGCGAGTTCTGGACGCTACAGTTGGATACCCTGGTGCCAAGGTCAGCAAGTTCTCGACACTAGCAGAAGCCGAAAAGTTCATGAGAGGTCAAGATGCTGCCGTTAGAAGTTGTTTGAGTGGCACTGGGTGGACTGGCCCGGCGTATGCCGTCGCAGTAGGTCGACGTATGGGTGTCTTTAGGACCGCCCAGAAGGCCTTACAGCAGACCCTGGCGTACTCAGGAAACAGCTTAAAGAAGTTCTGCAGTTATAAGGAAGCTGTTGAGTTTTTGGACCACCACCACTGGAGAAAGATGCCTTGTAATGACGAGGATGAATCAGAGGTGGATATTATGGATGAACTTGTGGCCGAGGAGACCCTCGATAGCATTGTCGATGACGCTTTCGGAGCTAACGACGTGACGCCAGCAGAGAGACAAATTGAGAATGTCCAAGAAACTACAAACTTAGGGCTGACGTCGAAGCGTGGACGAGATGATATCCTCGATGAGAATAATGAGGTGGTGCGCCCAACACAGCGTCGGAAGACTGACAGGAGTATCCAATCCAATTGCAGGGAGAAGGTTTTGGTCTGCTGCTTTGGTAGCCATACTAGCGACCCACAAGGCAACGCGACCGTCGTGTCAACATGCCGTTTTCTGACGCATCCCGCCTGGAATGTGAAGAAGATTGTGGGACCAAACGTGACTACTGCCCAAGCAGAGCTTATGGCTGTGCTTGATGTACTGAAACGCGTAGGCCAAGAAGACCCAGACTGTCTCGTGAGTGTGATCGTTTTCATCCGTGACCTACAAGTGTATGACTTGCTACGCGAGTGCAAGTCTGGCGATGGAAATGGAGCTCTATTGAAGCACATTACTAAGGAAAAGGGCAGTCGTAACATCCAGGTTTTCCACATGGGAGATGCATTTCATTGGGAGTAACAAGAGACTTTCAAGCTGCAAGCTACGACTTATCTTGCATGTCGATTTTTTTCAGTGCTTTCAGTAGTTATTTCTTTTTGAAAAAAAAAAAACACATTGTCACGTTCGAGTTTTATTTTTTCATTCCATGAGCACGGCAGAAATGGTCGTTGCCATGGAGAGTATCGAAGAAGACGCGCTCTGTAAACGACGAGATGATCGCGCAAGAACAAAAGGAGAATGAACAGGAAACGGTACAGCTCGCCAAGCGCAAACAACCCGAAGACAATGACAAGGTGCATCTTCCAGCTCAGCGCCACATGATCGACATAAACTAACCGGTGCAGTCCATAGAGAAGAAACTACTTGTGTTTTGCTCCGGCTGCCGTGATAGGGACGCTTAAGGGAATCGGGTCATGCTGTCGATGTGCAACTACCCGACTCACCGCCCGACTGGGATGTGGATAAAAACGTGGACCGAAATACTACAGCAACGAGGCGGGACTCATCGCTGTATTGGAAGCGCTGAGGCGTGTAAATCAAGAGGACCCATGATGCGAATGGAGTGTGTTCATTTGTACATTCAATATGTCTGTCTGTGCCATCTTGGATCAAGCAAAAAGAAAATCGAATCATTCGAGTTGTTCTTGACGGGGCCGCGTTCTGTTGGAAGTGATCGGCGCTGCCAAGCTAACATGTGCACCGATGTATTTATATTTTCTTCATGATTGTTTTTTTTTTCAGCAGCTACAACAGTTGCGAGACGACTTTATAGTAAGCTTAAGCACGTTTTCTCTTGATCCAGTTGCGTATTTACTTTTCCGTGTACAGCCTTACAGCTCTTAGTCGGTTGAGCAGGACAACCCGAACGTGTTCGGCTATTATTTAAAACGTTTCGAAGACAGTAGTGTTGTCGAATACAATTTTTTTTGCCTTCACGAGTCCACAATCTATTACTCTTTGCAACAGCACAGGTTTGTTTCATCCAATCAAAAAGCTGATTTACAAATATTCCCCGCCAATATGCCAAAATTCCATTTCTGATTCTGGAGCGTTGAGAAGCCGCAAAAGCGAGACGTCCACCATGGCGCTCCCCGTCATTGGAGAAGACGCCAAGATGCAGAGTCATCAACTCCCTGATGCCTTGACATCCCCATGCGCGTCACTAGCCCGCGCACCGTCGCTCTCTCCGCGCTCCGTGTCGTCCACTTCGTCCGAGCTCTTGGCTCCCAAAAAGCCGCAGGGTTCCCATAACTCGAGAACTACAAACCCAAAACTCCCGTGGAGATATCCCATACATCCGCAATCCGAAGATGAGGACTTGATACCCATTCGCCGCAGATTTCACAGCTCAGACGTCGTATTACGCAGCAATCGAGCAGCTTTAGCCAAGCTCAAGAGTCTGTACGAACGCGATAACGACTGGAGGAAAAAGGCCAATGCGTTCAGTGACAATAGCGACGAAGAGAACGAACCGGAGCCGCCTTTAGACTCGGCTGAACTCGCCAGATTGGCAGTAAGAAGACGGACATGTTCGGAGAATTTTACGAAAAGCTCGAGAGCTCCATCGTCATATTTCCAGAATGAAAACGCTTCGTTTGTGGGCTACGACGATGGAGAGCGTTCCAGAGAGAAGCTGACAGTGGAGGAGGAGGAACACAAGACCGACGAAGACGACGTCGATGCTGTGGACCATTTACTGGCAGAACTACATGACGAATTCGAAGCGGAAGCACAGCCGAATGACGATTTCTTTGATGACTCGTGGTCATCACAGGGGTTTCAGACTGGTCGCTTTAGTGGAGGGTCTATATTCTCGTCAGGATCGAACTATTCAGTGGAGAGTGACGGTCAGAATCTGGAGAAACTGCGCAATTTGCAAAAACTGTATCAGGAAGGATTCATCACGGTGACAGAGTACAAAGATCGTCGTGTACAGCTTGTGGATGAATTGAGTGAAGCCGATCGCAGTACGTAGAGTTTTTTTTCTTATCGTTTTACATTTGTTTCTTATTTACTGATTATATTTTTTTTATAATATCCAGCTTTCGCCAAGACATCAGACTTACTGTCGTTGGAGCTGCCCATAATCTACCGTGAACCGCCTGATTTTTCCCTTTTACGTGCACGCGATGCAATCAAACACGTGTTCGACTCGGAACATCGCAAGGTACACAGACTCTCCGAATTTATACTACAGTCTTAAATAATCACTTACTTTTGCTGTTTGAAAGTGGACTTCGTCGCGGATCAAAGTAAAGATTGACACGGAGCCGTTTGCTAAGGGAGGACTCCGTCAGGTATTTCACTTGCAAGATCTCAGTATCCCTCCTCCTACTCTAAGAACAGCTGCTGATGACGAAGACAGCGTCATGTCGAAGTGTACGAGCTACGTGGCGAAAGTCGCGATTGACCCCAATGAAGACCCCGATACGTACTTTAAAGACGTGGAGATGCAGGCAGTGGCTGCTAAGTACGCAAAGCTGTACAACACGTACAACCCTCCAAGACGCGTTGAGTTCCTCGAAGCGTGGATTCTTCAACTGATCCCAGCGGATGTCAGTGACGCTGGCGATCAAACGATTGAGAGCTTAACGTTGAGTGGCACAATTTGTGGCGTGGAGCCCTTCATCGCTGGGGAATACCACAAACACAATAATAATTTCGGTTATGTCAGCGAATTAGAACGCAACACGCCTCAAGCTTTCTCGCACTTTACGTACGAAGCCTCAGGACAGCACATCCTCGTGGTTGATATTCAAGGCGTTGGAGATCACTACACAGACCCACAAATCCACACAAGACGCGGCAAAGAATTCGGCAAAGGCAATTTGGCGGTACGAGGTTTTGAACGATTTTTAGGCTCCCATCGCTGCAACCCCATTTGTCGATATCTGAAACTTCCTTTGATCAATCCGAAGGATGAGGGGAGCAAACCAGTGGACCCCAAGGGCACGATACCAGCGCAGACGTACATGAGTCAGCCACGTGTTGTGGTGGATCAAGTTGACTCGGTATTGTGTCATTACTATGGCGACTCGAAGGTTTTCAAGAAATATCATAAGAAAAAACGCGGCAAGAAAAAACGGGACAAACAGCACAAAAGTCACTGTCAGGAACATAGGCGGAAGGTGCAACCGGAGAATATTGTCGAGAACCAACAAGCTGGCGATAGATTTGTCAATGCTCTGGGCGACCAGCAGCGATCGTGCTCCTCGTTCGTCTGCGATGGACTCTCGCAGTGTATCGTGTCTTAAAAGGAAAATAGAAACTTACTATCAATTTGGACATTTTGAATTTTTATCTAAAATTTTCGAGTTACATTGTGAAAACTGAAATAGCATAAAACTATTGTACGAAAGTGGTCGGAGTTGATGCGATACAGTCGTCTACAGCTTTGATCTTGGCTCGAAGACGGCGAATTCTTTCTGCCACAGAATATCTGCTCAGTTGTCGACGTAAAGGTGACGAGAATGTGAGATGACTGGTTCGTTCTGCCTGTCCTACTTGCACTTGAGCGTCTTCATCCTCTAAAATGGCTGCATAGGGTGCTCGACCAATACTGCGCCCATAGGCTGCTGCATTGTCCGGTGTGTCGAAGATCATAAGTTCTTTGAGAATAGACTTGACTACTGTATTCTTGAGAGCTTCGTAACCCGGAACCATTGTGACGTGGTCGAAGGCGTAACCCATGAATCCTGCTGCATCGACAGGCGACAAGGTGAATACTGGCCATAGAGGGTTATCCACTGGCACGAAGGTAATGGGACCCACGTAGCTAGATCGCTTTCGGAAGTTCATGACATGTGTCGGGGTTGCAGCCAGCACCATACTAAGTGCACTCTGTCTTTTCCACGCCACGAACCGAGCAATTCTTGGGTCGTGAAACTCGATGATGTCACAAAACATTGCCACAAAACCGTGTTGTACCGTTGACGCGCAGTATTGTTCCAATGCTTGGTGCATTGGATGTACACTGTGGGTGTGCGCTAGCTCTCGGTCTAGTGCGTGTCTCATCGAGAAGAGATACGACTTGAACCCCGACGTGGACGTGATGACAGTATGGAACACGCGTCTCTCTTGGACCAAAACTCGATAAAGCGGTTCCCTGTATTGTTGAATAAACGCTCGCCATGCTTTGTTGACGCCTTGGACACGTGCGAGTGACTCACCATCCAAGTACGAGACCATCAGGAGAGCTACTCCGTCGATCGAAAGCACTTGGAGGTGGCTCTCTGAGATGAGGTTCTTATCGTTTTCGAGGGTGTACAGACGTCGTTAATTAGCTTATGTACGAACGTCGAGCGGAAACTGCAGGACGGCGAGGTGGTGACGTGTTCTATTGTCGTTCCAGAACTAGAATTTGAGGTCGACAGTAGATTGAGGTGCTGGTTCACCGTGTGCTGAAGACGAGAGGCTCCACTTTGCATGAGTCCGAAGAGATCCAATGCTGATGCAGGAGCCATGGTTGCTTAGGAGTTGAGTTGTGGCGGGAAAGGTGGTTTGCGGAATGGCAATGCTTGTCAAAAAAGGAAACTACAACATCGTATGTAGCCATGTCGCGTAGCTCAGGCTTGGCACCCGGTGATTGGCAGAGTATTTTAAGAGTGTTGGCAAGATTTGATTGGTAGATTTGGAGGACGATGTGAGTGATGGTTTAGCTTCAACTTGCACATACATTCACACTGTTACTACACTGGGGGCTATGCCCATTTGCCGATTAGCGCCATGAAGCCAGCACCGAGCCACAGACTGATGTACAGCGTGAACCGCTGTCTCATGGTACGAGACAGGAACTTCTGATTGGTTGTCATCTTGTACGTCAACAGCTCGACGAGGCCCGTGTACAGGAGAATACCTCCAGCTACGCAATCGAAAATGCCCTGCATCCAGAGAGCTGCAGTAGATGAGCTTGAGTATGTGCTGTGAATAGCGATACCAAATGCCTGACCGATCGGAGTCGTGATAGCGAAGAGGAAGTTCATCATCAGTAGCTTACTGGGGGCTTCAATGGACTCTTGAGCGGCGGTGCCGACAGCAACACCTTCGAAGAACTGGTGAAAGCATAATGCGATCAATAGTGTCATGAACTCCGAGCCGGTAGTGACCCCTAGGTCGAGTCCGACAACGAGCGAGTGGAAGATGACACCAACTTCGAAGATTACAGTCGCAATTTTGCGACGAACGCCGTTGTGCGCAAGTTTCTCGATGTCTTTTCTTGTGGTAGAAGGTATTGGTGTTATTCGGTGAATAACTGATACTTCGTGTACTAGTTGTAAGCTCTTCCACATTACCAGCGCGGCCATGAGTGTGTCCGTGTAATGACGAACCTTTATCCCCGAAAAATACAACACCCTCGCACTCGATGAAATGCATCAAGATCATTGTAACGAGTACGATTGCCAGGCCGAGACACTCGTATTCCTCCACAATAGATCCAAGACACTCGTCGCTGAGCTTCTCAATGCCTTCGTTGACCATGTGAATCAAACCCGTCGCGAGAACCACACCGAAAGCGAACGAGCTGATAGCCTCCATGATAATCGAGTTGGTATTGCACTGCGGCATCTTCTTTGCTAGAATGGGGACCAACGTTCCTGCTGCCGATGCTACGAAAGTGATGAGGATAGCACTAACGTGCTGGCCTACGTTGTAGTCTTGGTCGACAGAGACGCACCCACAGCAACGCTCTTCAGACATGGACACTTCCGTGTATTTATGATGGGGTCTTGTCGTTGGAGCTCAAATTGAAATGTGACCAAGTGAATCCCTGGCTTCTGTGCGTAGTGTGGGATAAGGACATCATCGTGTGCCATATGCCGCTGCTTAGCTATGTGCCTGTAAAAGCAAGAAGCAGATGGCTCTTATTGAATGCGACGAACAAATGTAACGAGTGACCTTTGTCGTGTGGCTTGTCCGTGATCTCAAAATCACATGTTGATTGGGCGTAAGCGATTAATGAAACATTCACTGGGCCATGTCTAAGACCTATATACAAGTAGGTTGAGCTGTAGCAAGATGCTGCGTTGAGGTCAAACTAAAGAACAACTCAATTATCATCGGGATCGAGAATCAAAGACATTATAATGGGCGTAAGAGCCATCAAAGCAGCTCCCATCCATAGACAACCATAGAGCGTGAAACGCTGAGAAGGACTTCTTGACAAGAACTTCTCGTTGGTGGTCATGTTGTACGTCAGGAGCTCTACAAGACCTGTATACAGTAAAATGCCGCCGGCCACACAGTCGAATACTCCTTGTACCCACAACGCCGTCGTCGACTCAGTACGAGTTACGAATACCAATACCTATGACTTGTCCAATCGGTGTGGTGATAGCGAACGCAGCGTTTATAAGAAATAATTTTCTGCGATTCGTCATGGATCCAAGAGCCGCACTGCTGATAGCAATACCCTCGAAGAATTGATGAAAGCAAAGAGCAGTAAGCAACGTCTTGAATTCGGTTCCAGAGGTAACACCAAGATCAATCCCGACGATTACGGAGTGAAAGATAACTCCTGCTTCGAAGATAATAGTGGCGATTGTGTTTCGGATGTTCGGGTCTTGTGCTTTCGCTGGGTTCGGACTATCGTAGGGCTGCAAAGAGTGAAAATTCACACTTCGAGGACTAGCCAGATCCAAGGCGTTTTCGTCGTTATGATCTCGACTATGTTCGTTATTGTGGCCATGACTGTGACTATGAGTGTGGCCATGTAGAGCGGATCCTTTCTCTCCAAAAAACACGACGCTTTCACACTCGATCAAATGTAACAGTACCAATGTGGCAAGTACAATAGCCAAGCCCAGACATCCATAGTCTTCCGCTATTGGCCCGAGCGCTTCGTCACTGAGTTTCTCAATTCCTTCGTTGATCATGTGGATCAATCCTGTTGAGAGCACCACGCCAAAGGAAAACGCTCGAATTGCCTCCATTCCGACCGGATTCGTGCTGTTTTGGAGAATTTTCTGCGAGATAATTGGCACTAACGTCCGAGACAGCGAGGATGATGAAGATAGCACCGATGCGAAGTCCCTTGTCTTCCATCCTGCCAGAGCAAGTCTTAGGTCTTGAGTTTGAAGGATTTAATCAGTCTGAGAGGAAAGAAAAGTGTTGCGCTCTTGACATTAGAGCGATAGGGTTTCCAGTGTGCGAAGTGCGGGGACAATAACTCCAGAGAAGGAGGACTTGATCGCACACTGGCGCTCGCCACGAGCACTCGATAGTAACGTCCCGACTTCATTTGCCGCAAAACTTCCCTTTGATTGCAGCGCCAGCAGATTTATGAAACTTCTTCCGTGTGACTTCGACGTTGATCACTGCTCAGAGTGGGTACGCCACTGTTGGTAAGGCCCCTTTCTAGTATCTGAAATCGATACTTGTACACAGTACTCTAGGTCAACCGTTTCATTGATTCGCCGTCGGATAAATTGTCATTTATGCTACCACTTGTCCGACGGCGGCTGACATCACAGGCAAAATTCTACTATAAAGCTCAGTGCTCATTGGATATGTATTTTACAAGCGTACTACACGTAGTAAAATTTGGGGGTGCCATAAAACCAAAAAGAGCGACAGTGATGTGGCCCGAGCGAGAAATGCCTGAAGAAGACATTGCATGTTACGTAAAGACGTTGCAATACATTGTTGAGTTGGTTGGTTAGCTGGGGGTCGATTTACATGTAGAACAAAACCCTGCTACGTAGAAAGCGCAAGTTTTTGGCGCGTGAAGATGAGGTTAAAGTATGACTGTTGATTGGGCAGAAATACTTCAGCTTGATCGAAAACATTCAGTGAAGTATTAATACCTTTGTTGTCCGATTTCAGTCAGTCCTCGGTATTTATATCCACTCGATCACAGACCCTCAAACATCCAAGTGACAGTAAAAAAAAAAACGTGAATTGTCCGCAGTGCTGCAGCTCCGAGTAGACTGTGGGGCTTTTACATTTACTTTCCCAGGGGTATGAAAATTGAAAATGATTAATATCAGATTCGACCAAAACTAATAATTCAGCTATTATAATACATTGTAACCACTTTTTAAAGGGGCTTTCGTGGTCATAGGGTCAACCGAGGTAGGCTATTTTTCATCTAAAAAACAGCTAATCAGCTCTAAAAGGACAAATACAAATAAGTTTTTGCCGCAATTGCAGGAGTACTGCTAAGGGAATATAAAACAATGCCCTAAAAAGTGCACAAAAAGATGGTCTACGAAACGAAGCAGTGTTAAGCTGCAGAATGGACAATTCGCGTCTGGCGCAGCAGCTAAGTAATGTCGTTTGTCAAATTGTCATACGTGGACCACACAATTGGACCTTGACTCCCGCTCTCGGACTTCCATGTAGCAATAGCTACAAAAACTACTTAGGTAAATTCTAGTCTGGAATTCAGCTCATAGGGTGGTACAAAGACTCGTACTGAAAATTAGTATTATATTTAAAACACCGCTCACTCCTAATAGTCGTGCATCGACGTTTTACCGAGCTCAACTTTTTCATTGACCTCATGCGTTTTTAATTTACTTCGAAGTAGTTTTTGTGTAGATGCTCCTCTTAAATACGTAGCGCAAATTCATCTCGTCGAGATCTATCAGAATCTACAATCGTTCTCCAATTTGACGCAGAAAACGAAAGCTTTTATTTAAACCTGTAGAGTGATTATTTCTGGTGCACGATTATTTAGGTACACATATTACCAATCTTACAAATAAAGAGGAATTTTAGAAGGAAAAAGCAGCTACTTAGTATTGGTTTGTTTCGTGATTAATATATTATTGTGCGTTGTATCCAAATTTTTCACGATCGTCTGAGTGACATGAACGGCCAATCGGGCGGCCAATGTCACTGCCTGTCGTACAGTACGGAATAAACCCTTTAGTCATTACTCCACTTCCAACCATTCGCCATGACCGCATCGACGCCGCATCGATCACCGCTCTGGTGCATCTCCTTACTCCGCCCTCAGTAGTGCGCAACTAGCAGCAACAAGGTAGCGCTCCTCCTCAACCAGATTGGTCCGGAGCGCGTGTAGAAATGCCTGCAGTACTACATGGCTTGGGGGCTGTCCACCTGTGCTTCTTCCAGCGGCTTCAGAGGGACAATTCGATGGACCCACGAGTAGTGCCTGAGCGCGGAGATCTCGTGGATTCAGCTGCACCACTCACAGACCCAGCAGCATCAGCAAGACGACGCGTTCCAGCTGGACGCCGAGCATTTCAGGCAGGACAGTGCGATGACGCAGAAGCGCGTTCAGGACAGCGACATTGCTCAGCAACTTCAGCAGCACTACTCTATGGTCCAGTAGCCTCAATGTATAGACGTGATGACGCAGTAGGACAAGCTGGGCGAGACAAAGATGGACTAATGCCCCTGTCAGGACAAAATGATATTGCAACAGCAGATCCCGTTGTTGCGTCTTTGGTGAAGTGCTTTCTTAAAAATGAGAGATGGGATCCGACAAGGATTCATCATCTCGGATTAGTGTCAACGCCCGGTGGTTAGGGTGGATCAGGATTGCTCGACGTGGATCCGTACTGCTGAAAGTGGATTAGGCAGAGGTAAAGTGGATCGAAGGCCGAGACTATCACGCTGAACCACCAGATGAGGTGGATGATGCGGGGCGAACACGTTTATTAGTAGTCCAAGGAGGAGGAACCTGGATACGTATCCTAAATGGGTCGACGATGGATCTGGGGGATGATAGTGGCCAAGCGAATGAAGACCGGCAAGAGGAAGATGGTTGGTGGCAGTACCGTGGAGATTGACCAAGGGGAAACTCGAATCCACTCTCACCCAATTATACCGAGGGACATGGGATATACCATGTGCGGAGGATCAAGTGCGAATCCTATGCAGGAGGCTGTGGACGCCATCTGGAGGATGATCTGGTATTAACAACAAAAGGGAAGGCGAGACCCACTGCTATATGTCCCAGATCCCACTTCCCAAGTCTGGATCCAAGGGATTGAGGATCCCACACCGAGTGACCTGGATCCATGGTGCGGCGATGGTAGATTTAACGGATCTCGAGCTTTCGTGGAGCGATGGAGACCGAAGACATTCGTCCTGTGATGTTGGATGATTGGAGGGCTTAGATCCACGATGAGGCTACACTTACAGTAAGGTGAATCAAATTGGCTTGGATCCTGGACAGTGTACCATTATATGACGACCTCACTATGATGTGCCATGGATCCGGTGGATCTGATGCTGATACAGCTAGCGTGATGGGCCAAGGGGAGAAAGGGCATGCAACCGAGCCTAATAGGGGATTTAGCAGGTAAAATACATACAAGGTAGAAATCCAGGCAGGTATAGGCTTAGCAACGAATCAGACTTCAATTTGCACAGTATCACGCAAGTGCTTTCCTGCCCTCTAGAATCGGAACTCCATTGGATGTACGAGCTTGATGAAGGTTAGGAATTGCAAATCTAGTGTTGGTAGCGATAACAGTACAAAATATTGGCCAGATCAAACCACCTAATGAGCTTTCCTTTACACGTGCAGATCCGAAAGGTTAACCGAAGTTACTACTTGACCGGGTATACCAAAGAGACTCTCAACTCTTATGATTGCGCTATAGAAAGCGGCAAGTACGATGCATAGACAAACAAAGGCAAGGGAACACACCCGCAAGGCAACCTCACGGCCAGATCCCAGATCTAGGCCCTGAATCCACCAAGCTCGAATATTTGCTTTGGAT